TGGGGAGGTTGAAGCAATTTGCGCATAGTCACATAGTTGGAGGAACCGGACCCAGTGGTGGACCCGGTCAGGAGATCCAGATGGTCAGCTCAGTTCAGCCAAAGTGGATTGAGCTCCTCCCAAGGGTCAGGTAGGTCTCCCCTCAAGGATCCGTGCTCTGTGCAAGAAACCGACCTATCAACAGGTGATTTCTACTGTGCTAAGATGGCTTCACAGAGGGTGCTCTGGGAGCCAAGAGGAGGGGCACTGACCAAGCTCCAGGCTGGGGGTGTGCCCGGCTGAGTCATGGAGGAGAAGTGCAAGTTAACCAGGCGGGGGGATTCCAGGCAGAGGAGCAGCAGGGACAAAAGCCACACTGCTAGGGGCATGTTCCAAAAATAATGGGCTGACGGGCAGAGGATTCATGGTGGAAAATAATGGGAAGTAGTTTGGACAGGTAGGGGGGTGGGGCACAATAACAAAGGACTTCAATTCCAGGTTAAGGGATTTGAATGTTAAAACAATATTAGCTGACATTTCTACAATACTTATATCTCCCAGATAATGTGCCTCTCTGGGAATCTTGAAGGCTTGTGAGCTGGAAGGAGGTCTTAGGAGCAAAATGGTGCATGGGTAAAGCTCAGGGTAAAGATGATTGACAAGCGAGAATGGCTGGCACCAAACACATTCGGTGTCTAAGGAAACATTCTACCTTGGAAGTACTGTTCTTCACTTTCCTCTGAGGCTTCATACACTAGTTCCCCTCATGGACGAAAAGAGGACTTACCATATGGTTACTGAAGTTGTTTATGTGTCTAACTCCCCCACTAGGCCAGGAGTCCTTTACTCTCTGAATCCTCATCACTGACTACAGTGTCTGGCATATAGTAGGTGCTCTATAAATGTTTATGGAACAAATAAGGCATTTTGTTCATTAAATATTTTGGATAATAAGTAGTTACCACATCAAACTCAGAGGACTCTTTTCCAATGAATTAGAATATAATAAAATAGACCTTGTGGGAGATTATTGTTTGACAATATTCACCCCTCCTTCTCCACCTCCATGGGAGGAGTATGCTTCCCTGACTCTTGATTTCGGGCTCTGTGAAATGACTTGTGTTGGTCAATTGGACGTTAGCAGATGTGAAGCAAGCAGAGGCGTGAAATGTGCTTGCTCACTGGGGCTTCTGCCATTGCCACTGGAACATACTCCAGCCAATCTAACAGTCCAAGGAGGGTGCGAGAATGCAGAACACGATCCACATCCAACATGCTGCTTCGAGACACCCCACTGAGCTCCACTGAGATTAACCCACTCTCTACATAAGAGTCAGCAAAAAATACATGCTTATTATTGTATGCCTCTGAGATTTTAGAGTTGTTTGTTATGTAGCAATAGCCAACAGATACAACCCTATACTTGAAATGCACCAACTATAATTTTGTTGTCCTTTGTTTAGGAAGGTAAGTCACAGACTCTGGTTTCAGACTACTTCTGACCCTCAGTTTGCTTGTCTGTGAAATCTGTAAAGTTGTTATGAGGACTGAATGAGATAATCCAAGAAAAACATTTAGTGCAGCCTCTGGCTCATGGAAAGTGCTCAGTATGTGCTATTATTATTATTAAGGTGTCTCTGGACCTTGGGTCCCTGCATTAAGCAGCAGTTGTCATTGGGTATCAGGATATGCCAGTGAGTAGAGAGCTCCAAATAACAGAAAATGTCAAGCGACAGAACATTTACTGTATACTAATGTGTGTCCTTCCAAAATGACCTAAACTGAACTCCCCCACCTCCTGCCAAAGAGCTAAGGTACCACTGCCTGTTTATCACAGTCAATTAATTGATGACGCAGCCGTCCTGCAGGAGGTGGAATCAGTGTCCGCATCTTGCGTCTTGCGGTGCAAGAGAGGCTAAGATGTGGGTGAGTTTTAATCCACTAGCGCTCAGGCTGTGGCAGGCTGCCAGCAGAGCACTTAGCACAGCCTTTCCTCGCCTCCCATCTGTCTTCACTCCTCGCGGACTCTTAATGCCACTGAATGCTAACAGGCGAAATGTATATGATTTGGGAAGATCCAAAAGATGGGGTGAGAACAGCGTCGAACAGAACGTGTCTCATGAGATCGCCTCGCTTCCACGGTTCATCCACCCACAAATCTACCCAGAGCAGCTTGTTCTGTCCCACAGGAGGGCTCCCCCACCCACCCCCACAAAACGTTAAGGAGAATTCTTTCCAAACTTTATCTAATTTATATACTAAGATGTCTCCACAAAGAGCCATGAGCAGGCATGGGGTCTGACAATATCTCACATTTAACTAATCCTCCAGCTTCCAAACCCTTAGGATCTGGTGATAAGTTCTGCAAATACCGGTGTGTGTCCTGCCCTCTGAGTGTCAGGATGCTACTGATGTTAGGTTGGGAATTATTGGAAATGTTTCCAGATACCCGACTGAATCTTAGAAAACAGAAAACAACCTAACCCACATTACATAATCGGGCCAGGAAAACATGTTTCGTATTAGAATGGCAGCCAGCAATTTCCTAAGACTCAGACAGAGGTCTGGGTTGTTCATTTGGCCCTGGACCTGCTTAAGAATGACAATATTTTAACCTCTCTGTGTCTCCTCATCTGTGAGGCAAAGACACACTAAGCTGCTCCCTCCGTCACCGACGTGCGTCTTTGTATATTGTGCTATGTCTCCCACTCTAGAGAGGATGAATAAATATCAAAGCATGAGAGTTATTATGCTTCTCAGAGAAGTTGGGAAGATCAATAAAATGTTTCTAACACAAATAGGAAATGAAAATGAAGAGATATCAAGGTCCTGAGAAGCAGACCAGATCCATACAAAAGTACAACATAACCAGCCGTATGATCAAAAAGGCAGTCCCCTCAGAGTCTATTATATCTGTCCACATTCTCAATCAATGCAGTGATTCCCAGATGGCCCTCTAAGAAGCACCCTCAGCCCCGGCCTGTCCTCCCCCTGGCACGGCTGGTCACTTCCCTCCCAGCACTCCCTTAGCACTTATTTCATGATAATACAATGAGTTTGAGGAAGAAATGGCAGAATTGTGTCCCAGTTAAGAGCTTGGGCTGTGGAGGCAGGCAAACTTGGGTTCAAATTCTGGCCCGTCCACTTGACCTTAGGCAGGTTATACAAGCTCTCCCAGTCCTAGTTTTCTCATCTATAATGTATAGGTAGGAATACCTCCATCACAGTGTCATGAGGGTTAAATGACATATACATGTACAACACTCACTAGTGCCCAGCACACAGTAAACCCCCAGAAGAATTTTGTGGGATGGTGGACGGGTGGGTGGCAAAGCAGCAGAGCTGGCTTCATTCTGCACCGTCCCACAGGCCCCGCCCCTCAAAGGGCCCTGCATTTGGTTTAATGTTCTGCTGTCACTGTATTGAAATTCTTAATAATTTTTTAATACAGGGGCCCCACATTTCTGTTTGGCACTGGGCCCCACAAATCATGAAGCCAGTCCTGCTGAGCAGCCCCTCTAGGAGTCTTTGCCATCCAATAAGGTTATGAGGCGAACCCCAGCTTGCCCCCATATTTGCGTACTTTTGGGACTTTTGGCAATGATACCACACTGGAACAAAGTCAAAGATGGAAATACTTTGAACTAAATCTGCACCATTTCATAGCAAGCTTCCAGGTATTTGTTTTTTAAAAAAAATGCAACCTCACCACTGGGGAGAAAGGGAGAAAGGGAAACAGCACTCCTGCTGTTTCCTTCCTCATGGAGAGAGAGCAACAAGTGTGATTCTGTCCTCCCTCAGCCCCTTCCTCCCTCCATCTCGGGAGGTGGAGCACTTACATAACAAGTTTAGTCAATTTGGGAGCAATAAATGAGGCATGCTCAGCTCTGCTCCCTGCTTTCTCCTCTTCCTGGGGAGGAAGTGGTGGTGTCTGTCCTAGGCCAGCCAAAAAAGTGAGTCTCTCTACTTCTTGGGTTTGATATTAAGGAACCCATTTGGCTCACACTGAGCCATGCCCTTCAACTAGCCTTATCAGCGAGAGCAGTGATATTTTGGCTTTCATCTATTATTCCCTTATCTTACTCTTCAATTTGTTCAGTTCTTGGGTGGGAAGAAGGTTGCTATTTAACGGACACCCTTAATGACCCCAACAACCACATGAACCCCTGCCATCCATCTTGTGACTCAGGACAATATTTAATTAAAATGCCCCATTAAAACTTACTATGAGGAAGTGGTATAGATACTTCTATATGGGGAGAATCTTAGATTCATTGCATCTCCAAGCTGAAAGGCACTGAAATCATCTCCTCCAGACCCCTTGGTTCAAGGAGAAGATCCAAAGAGGTGAAAAGCCTGGTAGATTGGTTCTCAAATTGAGTGTGCATCAGAATCATCTGGAGGGCTTGTTAAAACACAGATTTCTCGGCCCCATCCCCGAGTTTTGGATTCAGTAGATCTGAGGGTGGGGCCCCAGAACGTGCATTTCTACCAAGTTCCCTGATGATGCTGATGCTGCTGGTCCAGGAACATTACTTTGAGAACCACTGGCCTGGCATAAAATGAGTCAGCCTGTTAGTACAGAGCAGGAGCCAGAACCCAGGTGTCCTGTGTTCTAGCTGAATGCCCTTGTTGGTCCATCTCCTTGTCTTGTGGTTGTGCCTGCCTCAGCCCAGCTGGAAGTTCCCTTGGCTGCAGTCTTTATATTTGCACTCTCCACCTGAAATGAACTTGATCTCCTCTCCAAAATAATGTCTATAATGAGCCTGGAGCCGCCTAGAAACAAACACTTTAACAATACGAAGTATTTCTGGCACTAATACACATTATAAAAAACATGATAAGAGAGAGTGTGTTATGAAGAAAAATTAATGCAGTGAAGGATAAACTTAAAGCAAACACAATCATGCCAAGGACCAAGAACCCAAAAGGTGGATCACTGTTTTTCTGATCCTTCTATTGTGTCATCTATGTCCATGTTGATTATGCCAAAAACAAATAAGAAAACTGCTTATACTTACCCAGAGTCTTGGTAGCCAAGTTTTTTCCAAGTCCATCTTCTGTGAGCTTTCTTTAATTGACCGTGCATTATTGATCTAGAAATTATATTTCCCACTTCAAAATAAAGGAAAATAGGGCCAAAGGACCTGTTTCCAAACCCCACACCTCCACCGCCACCACCAGCCACGCATTCAAGTGATGACAGTTTTGCTCAACTGTCCCTTCACTCCAAAACCCTTCCAGGAAAATGTCACTTGTGCAGAAGGCTCAGCTATAGAACTATGCAGAGATCTCCAATTACAAGGGCTTAGCAGGGCAACCTAATTCACAACCAAGTGAATGGGAATTTGTCTAGTCCAGCGCTCCAAGAGAAATATGAAATTTTAAGTTTTCTCAAAAGTAGCCACGTTAAACAGGTAAAATTAATTTTAATAACATTTTATTTAACTCAATACATCCAAAAGGGTATCATTTCCATATGTAATCAATATAAAAATATTAATGAGATTGTTTACTTTTCTTTCACACTAAGTCTTCAAAATTGGCTGATTTTTACGCTTACAGCACATCTCAATTTGGACTAGCTACATTGCAAATGCTCCATAGCCATATTGGACAGGGCAAGACCAGACCTTGGCCAAACGGACAATTTGGAACATGTTAGAAACTATCTGGATAGAAAAGCAGCCCAGCTCAAAGTGGGACATTTGGGAGGAGCAGACGGGCACCATCCTGTCTGAGTCCTCCTGGCTCTCTGTGGAGCTCTGACTGTGTTACTAAAAGATTTGCTTGTCGGCTGCAGGCATTCTGTTGGACGAAGATTCTTATTTTTATTTTTCCCTGAGCCTCTAATTTTAACACACCACTGCCAACATCTACAGAGCTCAGGAATACAGATATACAAATCATCATTTTATGAAAAATGGAACATCCTCATCCTCCCACAGTGCTCCCCAGCGGATGGTCCTTTCTTTTCCCCACAAACCTAACGAACATGCTGGTTAGATTGAATCCAATGAGTAAACCTGATTACATGAACAGGCCTCACGATGAAAGATTCTCACTAAGACGTTGCCATAAAGGTCCACAAACATACATATCAGTCCATATCCACATAGCCGAGAAATATACACACACGAGATTTATCCTCTACTTATGTTTATAAAACTAACCAGAATACTGAGTTTACGTTTCTGCTTGAAATTTTCAACAAATTTCCAGATTTTCTTGGGATCAGACAAGTCCACAACGTGGAGAAAGATGTTCTAAACCAGAAAACAAAAAAAGTGGTAAAGCTTTTTTAAAAAAGATATAAGCTAGTATTTTTTTAATTAAAAAAATACACGTCCATGGTTTTAAAAATCAAATAGTTTGGAATGACACCAAATCAAAGTAACTGTCTCACTCCTCAGAACTATACCATTGTTCACAGTTTCTTGTGAACCATCCAGAAATATTTTAAGCACATACAATATTTATACACATATATTTTAGGCATTACATATTATACATTTAAAGCATTATATTTATAAAACAAATGTGTGTATGTATGTGTGTCCCTTTCCATATAAATAGGATCAGACTATACATTGTTCTATATCTTTCTTTTTTTTTATTTATTTTATTTATTTATTTATTTATTTTGTGAGGAAGATCAGCCCTGAGCTAACATCCATGCTAATCCTCCTCTTTTTGCTGAGGAAGACTGACTCTGAGCTAACGTCTATTGCCAATCATCCTCCTTTTTTTTTTTTCCCAAAGCCCCAGTAGATGGTTGTATGTCATAGCTGCACATCCTTCTAGTTGCTGTATGTGGGACATGGCCTCAGCATGGCCGGAGAAGCGATGCGTCGGTGCGCGCCCGGGATCCGAACCCGGGCCGCCAGTAGCGGAGCGCGCGCACTTAACTGCTAAGCCACAGGGCCGGCCCTATATCTTTCTTTCTCACTTAACAATATGTGTTGGAGATGTTTTTGTTATATATAAATCTACCTTATTCATGTTAATGGCTACATAACATACTTTTGTATGGATGTGTCATAGTTTCCTGCTGCCAGTCCTTTAGGAGTTTTTGTCAATATCTTGCTCTTAAGACAATACCTAAGGCACATTATAAGATGACAACTTCCTCTGTGACTCAGTCCTTGCTTATGATGCTTATCAATTTCTGCCTTGTGATATGGTTATCTCTGGAAGCAGGTCCCTCCCTCAGTAGACTCAGAACTGCTTGATGGATGAGCCATATTGAATGCCCCCGCTTTCCTTGATGGTGGTTCACGCAGCCATACACGTAAATGACACAACGTATCTCTGCACCCAGCACATGAATCAGACTTGTATCCTGTGTCTCCAGTGAACACGAGGATATTCCCCTGAGCTCCAGCAGGCGGCTATGGCTTATCACCAAGCTAAAGCAGAGATTTCTGCTGCTGCTGCAGAAACCTCAGCACTGAATCTACGGGCCAGATTCTGAGCAACAGCCACAGTTCCTTTGATAAGGAAGGGTTCAGTGCCCTGCCTCGGTTTCCCCATTAATTGAGCCAGAGAATCCAAGGTTGTAGTCAGAATTTCTTTCTACTGATCTTAAAACGTATTGTTTTCTCACCCTGAGACAAAGGCTCAGAGAATGAGAAAACAGAAGCAACCCCACATTTTCATGACTCAGAAGGTCTGCAGTCAGCTTGAATATCATATTCAGGTTAAGTCTGGCACAACTGAATAGTCCTCCACCCTCAAGGGATAGGAAAAGCATTGTCTGTACAGGACTACGCTCTTTCTAAAAGTCTCTAAAGGCCCTCGCCCAGCCAGAGTGGACACAAGGCTGCTGACTCACGCCTGGGTCGGCCATGAGCCTCTACCAATGACTGCAAACTGAGTCTAGACACCTAATCCTTCCATTCTGAGGCCTTCCCCCACCACCCTAAAACTCCCTCCCACCACACAGTGCTGCGTAACACTCATACAAAATCCAGGTTCAAAAAACAACAAAATTCAAGTGAACTAGAATCAATTCTACGTTGAACATTCCACAACCTCCTTGAGCTTTCTGGAAGCACCCAATGTGTTTCAGAATTCAAAGGAGGTAGCAGCAGGGAAGAGAGAATCACCATCCCAGACAAATCAACCATGGAGCCTGGTGAAATGAAGCATTGTGAAAAGGTGAAGGAGATCATCTCTCTCCCTCTGGGAGAAAATAGGAAGCAAGAAAGCACCCAGAAGGAGAAGCCAGCAGTCAGCTGTGACCAGCAGAAGGAACAGGTATGTGTATGTAAAGTCTCCGATCTGCTGATCTACAGGGCTGGCCACTGGGCCCCAATGTACTCACTCTTTAAATCCTGGGGTACAAGTGTGGTTACTGAAATTGAAAAAAACTCACTGGGGATCCTTTCTGTGGATGAGACACTATCTAGCTGCTGTGTGGCCCAGGAGTCATGAGGTGACATCATGGGAACCCCTCTACCAATGTCAGAGGGTGAGTCTGATGAGCAAATAGGAAACAGTACATGAATGTGCCCTCAGAAGTTGAAATCACCATGTAGGAACAAGGTGGTAGTTAATATTCATGTTGAGTACCGGGGAAGCTAAACTAATAATTCTCAACAAGTTGGAATTCCACACTGGCCCAGGAGAGCTGGAGGAGAGTAGAAACTCCTGTTTTTCATTTTGGTGTTTTGATGTTGATCGGGTGAATCCCCACAGACATAAGGCACATTTACAGTACCTTCCAGCCACATCGGGAGTGTGGCAGGAGTTAAATATTGCCTGTACCTCTGTGATATTTCTCCTCGAAACCCATAACTCCAGTCTAACGGAAGAGAAAAACATCAGACAAAGCCCAATTGAGGGACAGTATACAAACCACCTGAGCAGTACTCCTCAAAGCTGTCAAGGTCATCAAAAACTAGGAACGTCTGAGAAACTGTCATAGCCAAGAGGAGGCTAAGGAGACACGACAACTAAATGTAATGTGGGATCCTGGATGGGATTTGGGAACAGAAAAAGGGCATTAGGTAAAAACTAAGAAAATCTAAATGGACTTTAATTAATAATAATGTATCAATGTTGGTTCATTAGTTGTAACAAATGAATTATGCTGATATAAGATGTTAACAAAGGGAAAACTGGGTATGGGGTAAATGGGAACTCTGTACTATTTTCACAACTTTTCTGTGCATGTAAAACTATTCTAAAATTTAAAAGGTTATTTTTGTTTTTTAAATGTTGCCCAAGGAGAAAACTGCCAAACAAGTCTGGTGCCCTCCTATCCAGGCAGCGAGGTGGTAGTGAACTGCAACAAGAAGCTTAAGGACGGTCCACTCTGACTTTCTCCCTCAGGTCCACTGGGAACATCGCACCAGAGACAGTGGGCTGGGGAGCAGGGAGTTTGCTCTATGACAACAAGCATTCCTTCCAAGCTTGAGGCTGCGCACACCCTCTCCAGACAGTGCACCTTGGCAGGACAGTCCACACACCTGATCTTACCAAGCTGGTGTGTATGAAAAGCTGATTCCTGTGTGACCTTGAGCCTTCCCAGGGCCCACCTTGCCCACGCTCACCTGACTCGCTTGCCTGCTGCACACCCCGCCCAGGCCCTCCTGCCCAAGGGACCACCGCTCTCAGATGTCCACCCAACCAGGCAGCCAGGACCAGCCCCTCCGGTGCCCTCACTGCTCTACCACACACCTCTTCTGCTTCTGGGAGCTTGCCGGCTTCCAACTTCCACTGAGGCAGGGCCTAAGCACTGATTAAAGAGAACTAGGGAACTGGAAGCAGAGAACGTAAGGTTGAGAGTGGTAACAATATTAGTATAAACAATATTGGTAACACCAATAATAATAACAGTTTCTCCTACTGATTGAGAGCTATATGTTCTACAGTACCTTGATCTTCCCATATCATAGCTCTTACCAGGTTAAGACAGTGTCTAACAGAAACCTCTTTCACCAGAGGGAATTGAATGCAGGGACTGATTTCCCAGGGGATGAAACAAGATGAGAACTCCACTGGGACTGGAGACGTAACCCACAGATCAGTAACAGCAGAAAGCTCCTACCAGCCCTAGGCTGGAGGAACAGCGGAAGAGGTGGCGTGACCTGAGCCCGGAGCCAGGGTGGCCGCCAGAAGGAAGAACCACAGAGGAAGGTCCCTGACCATTGCCAGGGAAGCCAAATAGCCTGTTTCCCCCTTCCTCCCACCTACCCATCTTCCTTTAATACCCCGCATTGGCCAAACCCAGCCAGACGCTGGCTGACATGGGAGCTGGGGGGTCCACGCCATCCACTCCCCCACTCACCCCCAGTGTCATACGGAGCTGAACAGGCAGGCCCAGGGCGGGCCCAAATGCTTCATTGAAAGTGCCTGTTAATCACCTGAATCCCCCACAAGACTGTAAGGGGCTGCATCTGTCTCTCCAGCTCCTAGCACACTGCCTGCCATATGGTTCACACTCAAATATATGTTCAGAAGTGAATAAAGTAATATCACCCCTCTTTTTCAGATGAGGGAACTGAGGTTCAGGGAAACTAAGAACATTGCCCAAGCTCACAAGGCTGGTGGGTGCAGAACCAGGACCCAAATCAGAGCCCGGCTCCTTCCCACATCCCACGCTGTCTGCATGTGGGGCTGCCTACGAACGGTAGGCCAGATGAAGCTGTGAGGTAGAGCCTCTTCACAAACAGGGAGGAGCAGCGCATCCCTGGCAGAGCTTGGAGGATACACCAAGTCAGGGAAAACACACCCACAGGGTTAAGCAGACAGGGGTTCTCAGCCCTGGGCCCTCCGTGATCTCAGTGCTAGAGGCCACTTATAAACACAAAAGACGAGGAAATCTCCCATGTGTTTGTTCAAATCCTATCTTGCGTGGGGGGGGGGGGCAGTAGGTGAAGGGCTCCTTCTCTCCCCATCCCAGGAAACATGTTTGCTCCCCCTTTCAGCTCTATATCCCTCCCAAAGACAGTGGAGTTGGATAGAAGGATGGCTCAATATTACAAGCAGAACCATACTGTCATCCTCTTCCATATAAATCTGCTTCGTAAAAAATACGACCCAAACCACAGCGGGCTGGAATCCAGGCAAGCCCTCCTCTGCTGGTGGCCTGGGATTAGTATTCCTGCTGCATCCTGAAGAAGCACAGCCCAAAGTTGTCAGCAGGCGACAGCCAGCCTTCGGTCTCAGGACCCGCAGCCCCGGACCACAGGCACTTGCAGACATGCATAGACCCTCACGTCGTGCCAGCACCAGGCCCCTGTAAGGCATCTGAGGGTGTGAGGCCATGAGGTCTGGTGAGAAGGGAAAGAACAGCCACTTGCTTTGAAAATGCTATTTAAAAAAATTAATAACCTTCATGAGCAGACACAAAACATTGCCTTCTAGGTTGGGGCATTTTTTTCTTTGGCCATGGTCCAAGCCTGAGGGTGTGGAGGCACCCTCTGTCCCTCCCCAGGCCCCTCCCACAGGCCCCTCAGTGGAACAGCAGCGGGAGTGGGGCTGCTGGAGCAGCAGGTTCACAGGTGAGAGGAGGAAACTCCCGTGGGAATGGAAGGAGGACATTCATTAGTGAGAATGAGGCCCCCCTTCTCTCCACTTGACACTTTCCATCCAGGGCCAGCTCCGTGGGGCACAACCTGTGCAGGTGCACAGGCCCCACACTCAGAAGGGCCCCACGCTAGCTTTAATGCTCTGCCTTCACCGTCTTGAAATTCTCTATTTTTACATAAGGGCCCCACCTTTTCACTTTGCACTGGGCCCCACAAATTATGCAGCTGGTCCTGGTTCCAACTCTCTCAGCAGAGAAAGACCACAAAATGTGAGCTAGCTCTGAAAGGTCTTGTTGGAATGTGGCTCTCATCACGACCCAAATGTTGCTTGTTGTCCGTCTTTATTGGAAGGCCACTGGGTCAGTTCACGGCCTGGCTCGGGGCACCTGAATCACCCTTGATATGTCTCACTGACGTGCGCTCCTTCTGGGGTGGAAAGCCTGCAGTGCCATTGTCCCATATAACGTCTCCACAGCAGGGATTGGCCCCTGCCTGCTAGCTTCATGGGCAGCCCAGGGCAGGGGGTCAAATCTCAGTGCCCCCATTACCCTAGGTCAAACCCAGGATTGAAAAGCACCAGCTCCAGGGGCTAGCCCCACGGCCTACTGGTTAAGCTCAGCGCATGCACTCTGCTTCAGCGGCCCAGGTTTGGTTCCCAGGTACGGACTGACACCACTCGTTGGTGGCCATGCTGCAGCAGCGACCCACATAGAAAATAGAGGAAGATTGGCACAGATATTAGCTCATGGTGAATCTCCCTCGAGCAAAAAGAGGAGGATTGGCAACAGATGTTAGCTCAGGGCAAATATTCCTCAGCAAAAAAAAACAAAAGTGAAAATACAAAAAAAGGAAAAGCACCAGCTCCAGCTCTCTGTTGGCTGAGGCTGCCTCCAGAAGCACAAAAACAGGCCATCGCCAACCCAGGGAGCAGGGGCAGGAGCCCAGCCCCCTTGCAGCTGACCCTGGAGGCAAGAAACCCCAGCAGGTGGGGCAGAGAGCAGCTCACCTGGTCACTGCTCTCCCTGAGGATCTCACCTTTGGCACCTTCCGTCTGTCTTGATCTCAACAAATCAGGTGAACTGTGCCACCTGGTGGAAATCATCAACACCATCCTTGAGTTATACTGATAACTACAGCTATGGAGACCAGCTTTTCCAAATGAAGAATTAAGACATATGGGCTCACAGACATAATACCTGAAATGAGACTATTCTGGAAATCTAGATGGACGCTCCCCACAGTTAGAGCAGCAAGTGTGACAGTGAGGGTGATCCTGGGACCTGCTCTCCTGCCTGTCTGGGCTGACTGACAGTGCCTCTGGGATAATGTCCTGACTTTTTTAAGGGTCTGAACACATGAAGGATAAGAAGTGTCGGTCCTGGTCACACCTGCACCCCTAGCATCGCCCCTGGTACCTGACACAGAGGTCTCAACCTGGTTGCACTTGAGACTCACCTGGGGAGTTCGTAAAGCTCCAGACGATGGGCCCAGGCCTGGGTTTGTTTTCAGAGCTCCCCAGGTGAGTCTAATGCACAATCCAAGTTGAGAACCACTGGTCTAACAGGTAGTAGGGACTCAATAAATATTTATTGGATGGTTGAATTCACAAACGGCACTCAGATTATTTCAGCAAAGGCCATACCATCATCAATCAAGGTTTATTTAAGAGGAATGCCTTGGCTGCAGCAGTTACGAAATAATCATTGTGGTGCCTGCTTTCTTCACTTAAAAGAGCCCGCTTCATCAAAGGGGGTCTGTTGCAGGGAATATACAGCCTAACCACGTAACCAGCCCCTCTCCTACCTCCTCCTCCCCACAGCACCTCCCAGTCGCTAAGATGCAGTTAATCCTTGCCCTGACTTGGCAGATAATTAAATACAGCTCCAAACGGTACAATATTCCCCTGGAAAATGCCTAACTTAATTTTGGAGAAAAAAATAAAACATCTTGAGCATCTTGAAAAGTGATCAATTCCCAACCTATGTTGCCAACTTCTACTGGAACATCAATTTTTCCTGGAGAAGAGGCTCTGGAGAGACACGGCAGACTTTTCTAGTCACCATGGTGCCATTTGGTGACCCAGGGCAGCTGAGTTCTTGCAGAAAAATCTGGCATTTACCCAGAGGAAGACTTTGGCTGATTAATTAATTTATGGAGCACCCAGAGCAGCTCTTCCCAGAATCAAGGTTAGGGAAGAGAAATAGGAGGCCGTCCTCAGCTGCTCTAACTCCGCAGGCCGGACACCAGGACACCGGAAGGAGGGAGGAAGTTCAATGCACTCCCCTCTCCAGTTATTCTAGGGGCACTGGTTCTTAACTAGGATCCACAGCCAAATTGCAGGGGACTCCCAATCTCCTCCCTGCCCATCTCCCCCCAACCCCCATTCTCACCAATGAGACATGGGCTAGGGACAAGTATCCACATTTTTTAAGTTCCACTGGTGATTCTGATGCCCAGGGTTGGCTGGAACCCCTCACTGCTCTTAATCAGAAAACAGTGTGATGTGTGGACAGCACCCAAGCTCTCCTGTGAACTAATTAAGTGTTGAGGAAAGTCGCCTCCAGTCACTCGCTCTGTCCGCTCCAGCTTAAAGCTCAATGCACAGCTTAGAAAGCTGGCAGCTGTGCCGATCACCACGGGATCACTGTCCAGGACTCCTGGCCATGCTGGCCAGGCCCTTCCTGACCTGCCTGTGACATAGGGCATTCTCCCCAGTGTGGACTGGCCGCAAGCTGGCTGTGAGGTGCAGGCTGCTCACCTTGCTTGGCTATTTCAATGGCAGTTGCTTTTCCAAAGCAGCTGTTCCCTCTGGTGACCAAGAAGGCTCTTCTAGGAACTTGGACCTCCAAGTCCTCAGGGACAGAGTCCTCAGGTGCAGACTCACAGCCACTCCTGGAAGCAGCAGACCCACAGAAAGAATGGCTGGAAGGAGCCAGGAATACAAACTACTAGAAGGAGAAAGCCTAATTCTGGGGTGGGCATTATTGCTCTCTCCCAGCACATCACACAGCTCCTTCCTTCCTTGGCCTCCCTGCTTCCTCCCTGGTCTCACGAACAATACCATCTTCTCAGGGGCTACACTTCCTGTACCATTAGCTTCCTGAACTTTTGAAAATATTTGGAGATTCCAACAATTTGGCATCCAAACTACCTTTCTTTGCTGCCTGTGATACTGGGAAGTGCCCCGCCCCCAATCCTTTGATAGATGGATTGTTTTGCCTTTTTCCCATTTTGGGGGTGGGGGAGCAGAGCTTAGGAGACCATTAGCACATGCTTATAGCACGGCAGGACAGGCAGCCCTACCTCACCACAGAAGCACCACGGTGGCGTGGCGAAGCAGAGGAGATTTGCAAGTAGGGAATGAAGGAGGAGGAGGGTAGGGTATTTGAGCTCTGCTCAATACCAAAGTCTCCTTCAGGGCTAGAGGGTGCCGCACAACTCTAGGGGGCACCATTCAGATCACCGTGATGGGATACTTGTATCTGCATTAGGACAACTTTCTGGCAGATGACAGCAAAGCATATTGAGGAGGAGGTGCTTTTTCTAATTTGCACAAAAGCATCATACCGTATAGATGCAACCCTGAGTTCCTTAACTGTTTCTCTCTGCCTTCTGAGATACCTCTTCTTCCTTTACTTTCCTAGTATTTCCTGGTTACGAAATTAGCTGAGGGCAACGGAGGCAGAATGGAAAGGGACTGGCAGGAGGGGGCTCCCAAAGGCAGAGCTTTCCCCACACAGCAGCAGGCTGGGTCTCAGAGCTTGCATCTCTCACCAAAGAGCCAGGTGATTTCTCCCCTGCAATATAGAATGGGACTCTCTCCCCTGCAAGTTCTACGAGAAACCCAGCGCCCTCCCACACGCCCTGTTTACACACAGACTGCCAACAGCTGGTCTCCTGCCCTGCGCCCTGGTAAGGCACAACTGCCAATTACACGTCCTGGACTCTGGTGAAGAGGCCAAAGAATGTTTATGAGCTTGGGTTTGGTCTGGAAGTCATTGTCACAGGGGCAGTCATTGCAATGTTTCTTTTCCTGTCTATAACTCGCCTGAATGTCCAGGGCAGCTCAGAGGACGCCCTTCCCCTTGCTTCTGCTGGTAGTGGCCCAGTTAGTGGGGCAAGCAAGGCTTCTGATTACTCTAAAGTTTTCCTGAAAGGCTGACTTGAAACTAAAAATAATATCAATAACAAGCGCTTCGGATGGAACAATCTGCGTTTAAATCACAGCTCTGCCTTTTAATAGCTGTGCGATCGCACGTGTTGGCTTAACCTTCCTGAGCTCCTGTCTCCTCATCTGCAGAAAGGGGATAATAAGAGGTACCTCTTGGGCAGCCTAAATAAGATCACTTATGTAAGGCATTTATCACCACTCTTGGAATAAATTAAGAGATCAATAAATAGTAATTGCTATTATTATTACTAACAATGATATTAATACCTTCCATGTTCAAAACTGAGTTCCTCATTTGGCCCCCAGCCCTTCAAATCATTAGGGACTTTGAGAGTATTTTAAACTATAACCAAAGATGAAGCTGGAAGATTTGTTTTCCCCTACAAGTTGGGGGAGGGGGGTCCCAGGATCACTGTGAATGGATTTTCTTGCAGAGGCATGAGTTTCCTCAGAAACATCCAGGGGCCTGAGAATCAATGAATAGGGGCCTAGCCAGGAGAAGGCACTGGTGGGGAGTGAGCGAGAGCTTCCCAGACCACAACAGAACCAGAAGAAAACATGCAGGAAACTGGCCCCAAAGCTCCCTCTCCTCCAGAGGCAGGAAGCTGAGAGGCTTTTCTCTGCCACACCCAGCTAGAGGAGACCTTAGCCTCTGGGCCACCACACTGATCCTATTAGAGACTAAGGTTTGCTGAGGGCGGCTCCTGTGGATTAAACCTCTTCAACTCCAGGCTGTGAGCTTTGCCAAGTGGGCGGTGCCAGGCTGGCCTGCAGGACCTCTCTTCCTTCTCTTCTGTCCTTTGCCTTGGCCCTTTGTCTTCAACACAAGGATTCCATCCCGGTCCAATCTGTTGTTAATCATAACACTTGACTTTTTTGTGTCTCCCTGCCCTCTTTTTTGGGAAACATTTTATCTTCACAAACTCTGGAGATCCGTCCCTATTTTTCAATGCAGAGAGAGATAAACGACCTACCTAAGGTCACAAGATGGTAGGTGATAAAGCCAAAGGAGGTTTTCCAGTCTGTCAACACCCAGCTGAGGGCACCTTCTACTACAGCAGTGATACTCAACGGTGCTCCCCAGATAAGCAGCATCAACATCACTTGGGAACCTGTTAGAACTGCTTTGTCAACAGTTCAGGGTGGGACCCAGCAATCTGTGGTTTCACACGCTCTCCAAGTGACTCTGATTCATGCTGAGCAACCACTGTACTTAGTGTTTCCTGAACCCCTGACAATAGGAATCAGAGGGCGGCAAGCTCCCCGGCATCTGTTTCCCCCATCTTACTCAATATGGAATTCTTAGGTCCCACACACATCTGCTAGGGGCTTAGGAGTCTGTCATTTTTAAACTGCCCTTGGTAATTCTTAGGTTCAGGCAAGTTGAGGAAACAGTGAATAGATCCTGCTGCCTAGGGGTTCGTATAGGGAAGCTTTATAAAAATCCTGGTGTGACAAGAAAGAACCTTGGAAACCCAGCTACAGACTCTCCCATTGGAATCAAAATAAGGTGTTGTCTTTCCCTCCAAATCACTATGTACAATGGCAGGGAGACCCACCTAAGTTTGCATCCTCACCCTGCTCCTGGAAAGAGTCTGGGGAGAAACTTTTAGAAGCCTGCTCTCCCTGGGTGGATGGGAAGCTGACTCAAGCTCTTCATGCTGCGTTCTGTGTAACATGGAAAGACCCAGAAAACAGTGGCCACTGCCAGAGTACACCCCTTTGAAAGAAAGAGGCTGCCACTGCATTCGCCTCAATTCAGTGGGCCAGGGCTGAGAGCTACACTTCCCACCATTCTCTGCAGCACTGGCCCCTGAGAAGGGTCTGCACTTTTCCCAAAAGGATGTGGGCTGAAGAGAAGGGAGCAGCAGTAGCTGCCTCCCCTTGGCATTCTGCCACTAGTCCTGCTATGATGGAAATGTGCCAGGCTGCCTCAGGAACTGATACAACCCTAGTGCAGGGAGAAGAGGACGCCTCTTAGATGCCTGAGCTGTCTATGAGAACCACCTGGGAGGGGGGGGGTTATAAAATATCGGTCTAGCTTCCAGTGCAGACCAGCTGAATCAGAATCTTTACGGGTAGGGTCTAAAAAATGGTATTTTTAATTCTCCCCCAGCGATTCTGATGTTGACACACGGCCGAGAACCACTGCATAAGCCTAATTAATTCTAAGATAAAACCATCTCTCCATGCCCCGGAATTGGCCACCCCTTAAAACCACAATGAGCTAGAGGGCCGACTAGGACACAGGGAGGGTGATCACGGAGCCGGCGAAGCCATCAAGCCCGGTCCACCAAGCGCACACTGAGTGCACAGCCGACACCCGTCCTGAAACCCGCGCTCAGAAAGTTCCAACTGGACCGAGAGGTCACAGTCCACAAGCCGCGTTTTATTAGTGAGAAAACACACACCCAGGAAAGTACTAAGCCGGAGTCCGAGCTAGCAATTTAGTACAGCCCTGTCTGACGCCGAAAACAGCCCCACGACAGTAGCACGCCCTGCAGGGCACAAGGTGACGCCCAGGAGGCTCTGGGGCGGCCGGGCCGCCTGACGTCAGTCCCAGAGCCCCGCCTCTCAGGTGTCGGCCCCGCCCCTCGGGGGCCCGCCGGGTCCGCGAGCACCGAAGGGCTGGACCCCTCCGGCCAGCCCGACATCTGCCTGCAGGCTGGGAGCCAGCGAGAGCCACCGCTTCTGGGTCCACCGAAGACATCGCGGGCGCGTCCCCGCCAACCGGCCGCAGCGGCCCCGGCCCGCAGTCCCAGGGCTGCACCCTCCGCCGCCCGGGTCGCCTCACTTGGTGCCTTCGCGCAGCCCCCTGGCGGACCCCGCGGCGCTGTGGTAGAGGGACTCCATGGGGCGCGCGCCGCACGCGGTCCCGCGGCCCCGCCCCTCGGGAGCCGCCCGCGGTTACATCATCCGGGTTATGTAAGAGCCGAGGCCCCCTCGGGACTCTTCTCTACCGGGAAGGCAGCGGGGTCTCCGAGCCGGCCTGGGACCTCCATACGATGGGGATCGCTCCCCTATCCCAGCTTTGGAGAGTGGCCCCTCCAGCCTCAGCCTCAGAGGGTGGGATGAGGGAGGGCAGGTCCTGCTACTGGCCGCACTGGTGGTCCGCATGGTCACCTCGGGGTTGAAACCCGGCGTCAGTACGTGTTTGGGGAATACCTGCCTGGTGGGTATGGCTGCGATGCAAAGATGGCACCGCAACGCACCTCCTAGAAAATCATGTGGAATAAAACGATGAGACTTAATGATACTAAAAAGATCTCCATCTGATGAGTTTTATCACGGGTTATTGTAATAACTAGCATTTTCTAAGTTCCTACATATCTTATTTCACGCAGTGCCCCCAGTACTCAGTGGAGGTACATCTCCCCTCACCCGCAGGTGCAGTAAGTCAGGTTGGTAACGTGCACACAGTGACACAGCTGGCAAGAGGCAGGGCTGGGTCTCCCACCTGAGAGGTAAGTCTGTCTCCAAAGTCCAAACTTTTGCCACTAGTTCTGCAACTTTATGCAGTGCCAGGGAGGGCCCCTTTATCTCCTCCAAGTCTTCATCAGCCTCCCCCCACCCCCAAGCCCAAATAAACATAGAGTGTATGTAAAAAAAAAAAAAGGAGGGTTGCTGTGCTAATCCAGATCCCAGACAAGTCATCCACCCCTTTTGGGCCATGTTATGTAAGAATCGGACACCTCTGTCCACTCTGACCTCCCTCACTCTGGGTTAAGGATGGGTCACTCAGTTAAATTCTGTACTGGTTTACCCAACCTGCCCACAGACTGAGCCACTCTTATATAAGATGTGCGGAGACCAGCTGGTTAATGGCCTCATTACCCAGGATATAGGCTATAGGGTCACTGCCCCCCTCCTGAGGGGGCATGTTTTTACTTCAGAATAACTTTTGAAATAAATTTCCCCAGAACAGCTTGCTCCTCTGAACAGGACTGTGAGGTTCCACTGCGTTGCTCTTATTCCTGACAGAGTGATGAAAGGAAGTTTAAACAGGCCGCATTCTGCAAAACCACGAAACCTGGTGTGACTTTCAATGCCTGTCCAGTTTGGCTGGGAGGATATTTTAGACCCCCCCGAGTTACACAGCTGTGCTTTGTACACTCTGCTTTGTGTCAGTGATGGAAAAGGTGTCAGTCTGCTCTGAATCCCTCTCACCACCTCAGGAAATAGGCTTTTGGCTCACAGAGGAGGTGTAAAATTGTTTTGAACTAGAGTCTATTGAGGACATCAGGGGCACCTTCAAGTAAAAGAGTGAGTGGAAACACAGCTCTCTCAACCTGCCATGCACAGCTGGGCATGCTGCGTAACCATTCAGTCTTCGTTGTCTTATTTGTAGGTAGGAATGAATATGCTCACCTCATGGGGGTGTTGTGATGATTAAGCACATTTGTAAAGAGCTTAGCGAAATGTCTGGTTTCATATGAGGCGATCAAAAAATGTTCACTTCTAGGGGCCTGCCCGGTGATGTAGTGGTTAAGTTTGCGCGCTCCACTTAGGCAGCCTGGGGTTTGCAAGTTTGAATCCCAGCACGGACCAACGCACCGATGCACCGCTTGTCAAGCCATCCTATGGCGGCGTCTCACATACAAAATAGAGAAAGATGGGCACAGATGTTAGCTCAGGGACAATCTTTCTCCACAAAAAGAGGAAGACTGGCGACAGATGTTAGCTCAAGGCCAATCTTCCTCACCAAAAAAATAAAAATAAAAAATGTTCACTTCCCTCAAGTTTTCTTCTCATTCCTTTCTCTTCCTACGCTACAGCCAAGCCGCGTCCATTCACTTGATGTTCCATGAGTGCATGAAGTGTGTCGTGTTTCAGCCTCAAATCAACAAGTATCCACTGGGTACCCAGTGTATGCGTTTTATACACACTTCATAGGAGGTTTTAAGATGACAGCTCCTATCTCAAAAGCATCCACTCTCCCCTGGAAGACAAATAACCTGTACACAAAAAGAAACGAAGGACAGGATGGGATTAATGGGAAAAGGCTCCAGTTTAAGTGGGAGTTAGCTTAGCTGGATTTTAGTCCTACTTCTGACACTGATTCACTGTGTGACTGGGGTAGTAGTGATGAAATTGATTTAGGGCTTAATAAGTGCCAAGCATCATGGATTATATCACTTAATCCTTACCATGAGCCATAAGGTTGCTCTTGCTGTTATCCCCATTTTACAGATGAGCAAACTGAGATTTAGTAAAGGGGTGAAGTCACTTGGCTGAGGTCACAGTAAATACATGCTGGAGCGAGGATTTGAGGCCATGGCTCCAGAGCCCAGACCCTTACTCACTGTACCATACTGGATGGGGGCAAGTCACTTAGCCTCCCAGGGCTTCAGTTCTCATCTAAATGAAAAGAGGGTCAGGCTGGATGACATCTGGGGCCCTTCCAGCTCCATCTTTCTATGTCTAATAAGGGAATTACATAAAAGATGTTAAATAAGTTAGGCCCAAGGTGCTTTTAAGAGTGACATCAAGTGGGTGTAGTGCTTCATTTCACTTGGGAGAAAGCCTCTAAAATATTTCTTATTTTAATAAGAAATAACTGGTTAATATTTCCCCGGTTCCAATTTGCCACTCAAAAGCCAAACAAAGAAATCATCCTTCAAAGCTTCCTTCAATTGATTTAGAGCCCTGAAGCTAATTTTGACCAAACTGGAAGGAGAAGCAGAAGGTGTGGACTAAGAAATCCACGCTTCCTGCACAACAGGTCTACATGATGGGCGGTCTGCATACATACACACACACACACACACACACACCAGTGTTTGCATCATCTTCCACTGAAGCTCAGTACCCGTTTCTCCAGCCCAGTTGTCATGGCAACACCAGCTGCCAATGAGATCATGGAAGACAAGGTTATAATGGCAGTGGGGCCTTAATATTTTACCTGGCAAAACCACTTAGATAATAAGATGAATAACCATAAATCATAAATCCATGGGAAGCCCAGGCACCGTTCATTGTATGTGTTTCACGTGTACTTGGGGTTGGGGAAAAGAAATGAAAGCAAAGGGAAAGGAACAAAAAGGAAGGTAGGATAAGGCAGGGGGTGGGGAAGATCTCTGAGGCTGATCCCTGTTATTCCCCAGTGTAGATCATGCACGGGTCCTGACCCTGTCTGTGCTCGGATTAAGGAACTGGTCTCTTCTGTAACAAGAAGGGGGTGGGGGCTCCCAGCCTGAATCACAAAAGGCTTATAAAAAAACCCAAGGCGACTGTTTTCTGGGGTTCACACTAACGGAGGGGAGAAGCAGCCCAGGGAGGGCGTGGAGACAATAACACACCCACACAGTCACCATCAGGAAAGTGGACCCCATTTAGAAACACCTTTCTGGTGGCCTCCGCACCAGATGCCCACCAGCTTTTACAGACTGGCTCTCCCAGGGGCTGTCTGTTGCCCACCTGAACTCACACCCTAAAGAGCAAATCCATTTGATTTTCGGGTTCCCTTCCTTTCCCAGGAAACCAATCACAGTGGGGTCTCCGGTAAGAGCTTTGGCACTGGGGAGCCGGGGTGGGAGAGAGCTCTGTTTATAGTGAAGACCCTTTGGTGCCTTTGAATTGTGTGCGATGTGCATGAATTAGTACTTATTGAAATAAAAAACAAGCAAAGGTCCGCCTTCTTTTGCTAGCATTGTTCACCTTCCAAGAACTAGACGTATTGGTGAGACGGGTCAAGTGCGGGGCAGTCGTGAAGCCCGGGAGGTCAGTTTCCATGTAACAGAGTGATTAAGGAAATGACTTCCCACAGCCAGGGCTTGTGGTGGTCTTCAACTCTCACGCAGTCTGTTTCTAGGGCGCTTGTTTCATGGCAAGCAGGTTCCGTTCTGGGAGCCAAAGCAGTAGTGGGGCTCAGGGGTGGAGTCGAATGAGAGCCTGGAGGTTGCTCGGAGAGGTGGTTGTAGCCCACCCTCACCAATGCTCCCGGGACCCCCTGGTTCCCACTGCTGGCTCGGGAGAAGGGCCACCAATGAGGCTGGGAGAGGGCCAAGGATGCAGAGAGGCAAGAACTGGGATGGAGGGTCAGAAGACGCTCGTTCAGCTCTGACACCTCTTCAGAGGAGTCTCTTCACCTCTCTGAGCCTCCGTTTCCCCTCTACACTGCAGTGTGACTGTCCAGTCCTCACAGCAGAGTAGTGAGGATGAAATAAAGGACCTTTTCTCTTACATAACGAATACTTACACTCCACTTGCTATGGGCCAAGCACTGTAAGCTCATTTCAAACGAGGAGATTGAGGCACAGAGAATTTCAATGGCATGTCCAAGATCACACTGGAATCTAAAAAGTAGCAGAGCCAGGATTCGAACCTGGCAATCTGGGTCCAGACTCCACACACTTAACTCCTTTTCTGTAAGGATGGGACACTTCTCATGGTGACGTCTCTTCAATTTCTTCTTTTAGTCACTTCTGTGGGGCTGGAAACTTCTGCTACCATCTTGTGTGCCTTTTTGGTTGGTTGATTGGTTCCTGTGTTCTACTGGGTGGCTTATAGTTCCTACAGTTCCCTCTACCAGCGTTCCTCACCCCGCCAAGCCAGAGGCACTCTGAGACAGAAGGTGGGGCACTAAGACTTGCAGTCAACTAAGAGTGAGATTGGGTTTTGAGCCTATGAGCATGCGTGCCCTTACATACGGATAGAATGACCAAATGACCCTGCACTTGCTGGCTATTTAATACCGGGCCATTCCATCATTCTGGGGAGGCTTGGAAGGACTGAGGAATAGGCTATTTTATTTTTAATTGTGGTAAAGTATACATAACATAAAATTTACCATCTTAACCATTTTTAAGTGTACAGGTCAGTGGTATTAAGTACATTCATATTGTCGTGCAACC